TTAGTTTACCAGAGGGTAACAACTAAAGATCCACTCTTCCACATGTCTTCGTCAATTTATCCCAAGTTCCCCAGGGTTTTTTAGGGAATCTTCACCTTTCCCGCCCCATTTTTAGCGCTCACCGGCCTCATTCAGCGCCTGTAGGCCTGTGGTCAGGAGCTCCCAAACCTCCTTGATGGCATCGGAGGACTGCTCCGCCTGCGCCAGTGGTACTGCCATCCCCTACCAGGCCTACCAGGCCTAGGGAATAATCTAAGGAATGATCTAAGGAATGATCGAAATCCCATCCCACCCATGGACATGGTAATATGATGGTAATATGATGGCAATATGATGGTTGATTCTTGGGCCCACATCAGCCATCCAAGACATGGGGCATAGCCGGCATAGCCATATCCATTAGAAAACCCAAAGGCAGCTACACTTGGAGTTGAAGCGGCAAAAAAAAAGAACCGTTCGCCATGTTTTTTCCCATATCTGGATGTGACCAACCCGAAACTCAAGAGTTCGCCAATACATATGGGATTCACAGAAATGATCTGTGAAAGGCATTCACAAATCCTGCTGATGTTGCTGGCTGCAGTTTCGTGATCTCACGAAGGCTTCACACACCGATGTTGACCCGAAAACAACGAAACGAACAGCCGTCGCATCATCCGAATCCGAGCTGTTTGCTTATTTCTTGGGTACAAAAACTGATGGGTGGTTCCAGTTCCTCCCAGAATATGAACATGATTTTAAAACATTTAATTAATATGAAAATGACTTCAATTCATGTTAAATCATCTTCCCATGTAGGCTTGTAGAAAATTGAAACACGAAACCAACGCAACCAACGCAACCAACGCAACCAACGCAACCAACTCTACATAAGTTCCATTCCCACCTTCCGCGCGTAGATCTGGACTTGGTCCAGGCCCACATAGGGATCTGCCATGTCCTTGGTCCAGCAACCCCCCAATAAAAAAAACTGCGATTGATGACTGGGTTTTCCATGGTTTACCACATGGTCAAACCTCAAAGACACACCCAGAAAATTCTGGTGAAATATGTTGAAGCTATTCGCTTTGGGGTCCCATTTTGGAGGTTTTTTGATATCAAGTAGGGGGAAGGGGCTGCCATGTCGGGAAAAAAAACGAAAGATACGAAAGATACGGTTTTCGTGTACACAATGAGGAAATGCCCTTCAGTGAACAAAGATGTGAATTGAAAATTCCCAATCTCAATACGAAAAACCATCTACCTGGGGGTGTCCCATTCAGCAACTGAAAGCCGATTAAAATCCTGATCATTCTCGCAAACCCATGGATACAGCCAGGGTAGAATTGGGTATGGTTCACGGTATGGCTTTCTGCTTGCCACATTCCACGAGGCCTTGCCTCGTCGAATTGCGAAACCAAGAATAACCATCATTTTGGGCGTCCTTGTTTTCCATCATTTGCATTTCAGGGCCCATGAGGTCGCAGTCAGTCAGGCATTACAGCCGATTTTCACCGCCAACCGATTCCAAAACCTCGCCTCTGAGCTCGCTAGGAGCCGCTTTCTCCCGGACCCGTCCGTCGCATTGCCCGCCCGCGCGGCGGGGTGTTGCGACCCCAAGTTGTGAGCCAACGCTCGTGGGGTCGAAGGTGGCTGAACCCCAAAAATTGGTGAAAAATTGGTGAAAAATTTCACCCCATCCAAGAATCAATGGGGTCAAATGTGGGAGAAGGATGGAAAGCGGAAACTGGTGAAAGTTCCTGGACTGGATTCCCACCACCTATACCCCATGGGAAGGTATCGTCATGTTCCCTTTTCCAGAATCATAGACAGAAAGATAGATAGATAGATAGATAGCCCAGTAAGACCATGCTTTAACTCCAACTCGGATTGATAAGCCCCTGCGGCTGCTGGATTGGGGAGATACCATTTTACTACCCCTCCTTGATCAATCTTGATTAGCCAGTCTGAATCAGGGATTGATATGATTCTTTTGTGGTATTCCAATGATATGTCCATTATGATATGGACATGATTATGGTATTCAGATATTATCCATCAGTTTTGTGATATTCCAATGATGGTATTCATGATGTTTCCATCCTATTTCCACGTGAAAAATCGCCACGTTAGGTCGTCCCCATCCAAGATCTCCAAGGTCTCCAGGGAATGGCCTCTGCTGAACCGATGGAAATCAGTTCTTCGATGCAATGGAAAATGATCTTGGCGGCCAGCATCCTGAACGGCATGGCATGGCTAAAAAAGGGCTGTGGCAAACAAACCCTGCCATGAAACATGGCCCATGGGAGCCATAAACTACAAACCATGGCATTAATAATGTTTAACCATTATTAATCACTATGAAACATTATTAACCACTATTAACCATGGGACCCAAAGAAGTAAGGACCATTATTCTTAGGTTTCTGCCATACGGACTTGTTCTTCTAGAAATAAACACTGATGGCATTTTTGGCAGCCTTAGACTTAGATTGAAGTAATTAGACCATGTGTTTTACGCTAAACCTGTGTGAATCAAAATCTTTCTTTCCAACAATGGAGCCAGCCAAGCAAACGCTCAGCTTACGGCTAAAAGAAGCGGAAACTGTACACTTTTCGCGGAGAAGAAATGGTATCAAAAGTGATAGTTGAAGTTTAAACCATTACAAGTGAACAAAATGTGATAAAAGTGATTTCAAAAAAAACCGTGGTATGGTTTGAACAATATTCGCGCATTCAAATCATGAAAAAGAAAGCCAGCTGAGCCAGCTGCCTTGCGGAAACTTCCCCCTGCCTTAGACGCAAGAGGTGTGCGATCAGCTTCACATTCCCAAGCATCTTCCTGCCGTTGCCGAGGCATGGTTTGGTTCCTTCACAGATTTTAAAGGATCTGGATTCCCCCAACAAGGAAAAATAGGCATAAAAATGGTAGATTGCTCAACGCTGTCCATCACTGGGCCCTAGTCATCAGTGGGCTTCCCTTTTCCGAGCATCATGCAATTTGGTAATCTAGTCAAAGGCATCTGCATCTGGCGATAATCGAGAACCAGCCATGGGCCAAATATGGCCAAATGCGCTAATTCAGATGTGTGGGAGAACATCCGGGAGAACATCCCTGCCCACATTGGTCCCACATTGGTCCCACATTGGTCCCGCATGGCAACAACACCTGCTCTGTGCGGAAGAGGCGCGTCTTGTATTTGACTAACATCTCATACTGCTCCTCATAATCCAAACCTCGTGGCATCTGATGCATTCACTGGTGATGCCATGGCAGGCATTTTCAAGGTGCCAATCTGGGGTTCCAATATTACACCTGGAGCTCGGGCAACCAGACATCAAGTCGGTATGACCAAAATAAGCCCAAAAAATGGATTCACATGGTCAAAATGGGCATGTTTATGATTTCTTGAAACTGTTTTCCATACATCCGTCCCCATCATTTCCATTCATTTCCCATAAATTCAGCCATTTTTATCCCATAAATCCAACCATCATTTCCTGTGTTTGATCAGGAATGCCACAACGGCAACTGGCCATTTTTTCCGCCCAGCCACAGGTATCGATCTCCGGAGGCGCCAAGTGCACTGTAAAGGATTCCTGGAAGCCATGGCCGCCATGGTCCATAGAAATAGATGGTTTACCTTGGAAAAACCTTGGTTTACCTTGCTTTACCTATGAAAAATGGATAAAAATGGGGATGTTCTAGTTCGCAAAGTGTGAAAAATTAAACCAGAGGCTACTTTGGATGTTTTCTCTGTTCCTAGGACTGTTGGATCATGTTGGAGATGTGCGACAGGATCGACATGCAGATAGGTCTGAAAGAATATCTTTCAGCTAGCAGTGGTTCGACTCAATTCGATCTTTCCGAGAGCATTGAGCATCCGCGTGGGAAAAAAAAAAGTTACTGTAACTCTGGACAGCGTTGACGAATTTCAGAGAAATCATCCATTTTCACCTACCCTTCACCATGACATACCATGACCCCTTTATTTGATGGTGAAATCGCAGAACTTCTTCATTTATCCCCATTTTTGTTCATGTTTAACCATGTTTGACCATGTTTAATCCTCATTTTCAGCGGTGAAAACCCATCTGGCCCGCCCCTCCGTTGGTCGTTAGTCTCCTGACACTGCTCCAGAAGCGCCCGACGGAAGTTTACTTCGACTCCTTTCTCTCTCAAATCCTCAACGTTTTGGAAGGGAAATGGGCGATGGCGAGCAGGAAATGGGTGGGGACCTCAAAAATGAAGATTCACCGCCATAAAGTGGGCTTGCGGTTTGCGAACAAAAAGCGGGGTATAAACTCCGTTATCTGGGGATATAGATAGATATAATTGCGATATAGCCAACAACTTATTGCCATTTTAAGTTTGAAAATGATGTGTTTTTATTCTTTTAGCCCTTGATTTGATCGCGCTTCCCAGCAATGTTTTTGCCAACTGATAATTTGGTGTTAAAGAACCAAAACAAGGATGGAATGTGTGAGAAGATCTTATCTTCCAACAGTCTCAAGGCTAAGCTTGAAATCACCAAAATTGGAGATGTAGCACTGTAGCGACCCTTCGAGACTTACCCCACGGAGAGTTATGGAGGCTAAATCATCCGAGCAGGCCCTTAGGACACTTCGAAATGGGGGAAACATCATCCAAGTGACATCCTTTTGTCGTTTTTTGAGCATCTTTTCAAGGGGGCCCTAAAGTTTCCTAAAGATCTAGCAGACCTAGCGCATCCAGATCTGGTCCAGGTGTCGGTATCGAGTTTGGCGCATAGATCTGCGTAGAGTTCAATGAAGTTGTGCTGAAGAGTGGCCTCCGTGTTTCGGGTGCCCCGGGCTCCAGGCTGGACGAAATCCCCTGGGAATTTTCCGGGCCAACTTGGGAGTTTTTGCAGCCAAAAAAAATATGAAATAAGTCGTTCCTCGGCAACGAAGGCAGCAAGAAGCCCTGAAATTTATTGCAAAGATGTGAATGTAACAACTATGGATTTAGCAACACTATGGATGTAGCCTTCTTGAAGACGTCTCGAGCAATGACCTGACGTGGAGGCAAGTCATCTTTGGAAAGAAGAAAGCGGGATGTTGCTGTGGCAAACATGATCAATGCTGGGGAAATTCGCCACACGAAGGATGATTATGCCATTATGCCGGCACAAAAAAGGTACATCACGGTACATCTGGTAGTACATCTTCTACTGCTACCATCATATGTTTGAGGCATCCAACATGCCCAGCCTCGAGGGTCTCAAGGCGCAGGCGCTCATCATCCACCATGCAATAAGTTAAAAGATCTGTATAGAGTTTGTCGAATTTCTCCCAGGTGAGCCTCCCATGGATCGGCTTGGCACGGCTTGGCACTCTCGGAGATGCTGGTGGGTGAAAAGTGTGCGGTTCTTTCGCAGCACAGGAACCAATGCTGATGTGGCAAACACAATTTCATCAAATGTCATCAAATGTCATCCAGTTTCGCCATACCACCATATGTCTAGCCCATTTTATGATCATTTGCAAATGACAAGGGTTTTTTAAATAGAAGCTGTAGCCCCAGGTGTTTAGCCACTGACTTGGAGCCAAGGCACTTGTTCAAGATCGACTTCACCTGCCACGAGTTGGGAGCTAAGAAACGCAGTAGACCTGGTACCCACCAAAATGTTTCCAAAATGGCGCTGACAATGTGGTACCTCTAAATCATCATCATCATCATCATCATCATCACTTTCCCTCTGATTTCGTGGCATTTCATGGCCATAACTGGGTTGATCGCCGCCATCGCCTGACGCTCCACCTGCTGCATTTCGCTCAACGACTTTCCCGATTTCCTGACACGGCGGATCGATCCAATGCCAATGGACACAACTCACCTACGATATGGATGTATTGTGTACACATCTTCAATTTTGCATTGTGTTAAAATTGTAAAAGCTTCTCAAACTGCTTGGATGTGCATCCCACTTATCAACTGGATGCATTTTTGTTAATCGATCGCTCGGGATATTCATGGATATTCCATATGCATGTACCAATCCTGCTATGTAATATGCACATATGCTCACATATGCGTAGAATGGCATAGATACATATAGATACATAATAGATGTAGTACGTGACCTTTCTCGAAGAAACGTTGGGTTCATGTCGTTTCTTCCAGGAAGAAACGCCCCACTCGTGGCATCCCTTTCGCTTCACCAAGGTACTGGGGCACCGGTGCTGAGATGGTGCGGGGGAGCCGCCCATTGGTGCTGCGCCAATTCATCTCATCTGAGCGAGCCTGGCGGAAATCCGGAAAAATCCATCCGGTTTTGAGTGAAAAAATGCTGAAATCCCAAATAAAAAATTCATCAAATAGAGTGGTTTCTTGTAATTTTAAGTGCCCAAAGAAACCAACTCCAGGTAGTTTTGGTCCAAATACCAACACTTCTTGGGGTATTTGATCCGATGAGGACTGAAGCATTGTAACATCCCAATCGCCGATGGCCCTCTTCAGTGGCGATTTCTTTGTATAGCACCCTGCACTGCAAAATATATACCCCTTGAAAGGGCCAAGAGAAGACGTGGAGGACACCTAATGAGGAGAAGCTCTCAGAAGTCTGGGGGAAATGTCATGTTTAGTAAAATGTTGCACTTTGAAGGGTGTTTCCGCACTCTTAGAAGATTATACTATATGTACATGTACAAATTTCAACAATAGGTTGGAGGCTTTGGTGTAGGTGCTGATGTTTATTTACGTTCTGCAGGATTGAAATCTCATAGCGTCAAAACTTGAAAATCTCCTGGGCTGGTGGACTAAAGGTTTTGTTTTTTTAAAGCCTCTAAGATTTCAATGGCAAATGGCCATGGGCATCCAGCAAGACCCAACCACACTCAACATCCATCCCATAGAAATGTATCTTTCAACTTGGTTTTCGGATTCAAATGATTCAAAAACCAAATAAGAAAAAAGAAAGAAAACCTTCCGCCGGACTTGGCTTTTTTCTCTCCTCCCTTGCCTTTGGAGTATCTTTCCACTCCTGACCTCAGCGTCGTCTTCCCCTCTTCCCCTCACCAATCCTGGAGCCACATGTGTGAGCTAAATGTCTGAATCTGTTGAGCATGTTGGACATATTTACCCAACACATTCACCCTCTGCTACTCGCAGGTACTTAGGATAGGACGTAGCCTGATAAAGAGCTAGTTATTCTCTTGTTTGACCAAGTTCACCAGTCCAGAAGACCAATTACCACTTGGGAGTGACTGTGACAATAGAAGCCTACCCTTTCTTGAAGGCCATGTATGTCATGTGATCTTTGACCCCCCGCGTGAAAAGGGATATATAGACAGCCTTGTATGTCCTGCAAAATTTGGAGCAAGACTTCCATCAAAGGGGTCGCCAATTGGTCCAAGGTACCAAAATAAACTCAATTTCCAAGGCATTCCAAAGACATACTGCACATATCTACATTGACATCTGTACATCAATCCATCCATCCACCTATCATCCCTCATCCATTTCCACATCTGCATCTAGATCTTTATCTATGATCATTCGGAAGTTTCCTAAAATGGAGGTACCCCCAGTCATCATCCATATGTTCATTGGATTTTCCATGAAATAACCATGCATAAACCATCCAGCTATTGGGGTACCCCGACGACTATGGAAACCTCCATTCCACCAAATTTATAATGATGGATGGTTGAAAGCCTATAGATAATGGGATAAACATGGGATAAACCATGAACTGCTGCAGGATTTCGCTGGCCTCGCCCCATCCACAGCTGCTGATCATTCCACCAACGTTGAGATCCCCGACTCCCGATGTGTTTCAGCTGTGCTGAGGGCATGGATTGGGATCGCTTCATCTCTGCGGAAGGCAGCGGAGACGGGGATCCTGCAGGGACAGATAGTTGGATAGTTAGATAGATATCATGAATAGTAAATAGTATCGATTGTGTGCAGGCATGTGAATGTATATATATAATATCATATAACATCATACGGTATAATATAATGTAAAATCATATAAATATAAATATAAATTTAAATTTTGAAATAAGCATATAAATATAAAAACACATCAATATAACTATAAATAATATTTAGTACTGTATTAAATTGCAATATATCATATTATAATATCGTATGTTATATTGCATTATATTGTATAATACTGTATTGTATTGTATTGAATAATATGATATTACCTCATTATATTGTATCATATTTCGTATATATATATATATATCATTACAAATATGCAGTATATCAGTATGTCCTGGAAATATATGTGCGCACGTGTGCATAACATCATATATATATAATTGTGTGTGTGTGTCTGCACATGCCCTCCATTTACAGCCGTCAACCGCTTACTTTGGGGAAGTTCCTGAAGGTTTCGCCATGCAGATTTGTTTGTAGATCCAGTGGCCCAATCTAAAAGGATCATAAGGTAGAAAGGAATCAAAATCACCATCAACTATAGTGCTTAAGTGTCTATCTATCTTCATCATGCAGTACTACTGTAGTACCTAAGCGTCTACCTTAGTCAAAATCACTAAAATCACCATCAACAATATAGCTATTTCTGTCATATAGTACCTAAGTTTCTATCTATTTTCATCTCTACATTTCTTCATTAAAACAAGGAAAACTTTTTGGACCCCCACCATGGCTGCTTCACTCAGCTTGGGTCCTTCGACTTCGGCGGGTGGCGAATTGACCTATATGGCCCAGAGCCAAAACCCTGGCACCCTAGAACCCCAACATAGATGCATAGTGAATGTTTATTCCCTAAATATTGTAATAATAGGTGTTGAGCCATCTGGGGGGGGTTGGTTTTCAACCATATAATAAAGAGGATTTTCAATTGTCAAAGTAACCAACTTGATTGCTGTGAGTGGTTTTGGGGCGAGGTCATCACTTTTTGGATGGAAAACAAACATATATATGGTTATGTCATCTGAGACTCGAAAACCCCATCGGAAACCACCAGCCAGACTGACCAAAACTATGCCTACTGTACTCTACTCGGCTCCGTGAAGTGGGGAGTTTGAAGGATCTCGCGAAAGCGGAACAAACAAAACTGACCTTCTCCAATCGCGGGGACATCGCTCGGGGGCTGCTTCTTGGAAGTTTGAGCTCCTGCGGGAAGTCCGAAACAATGTCAGAGCCGGGTTCATAAACCCGTCCCCCTAATATTAAACAGCCCTCTGAAACAATGGTGTAGAGGCAGTTGACCATTTAGGAGGTGTTTAATTTAGTTTTAATACTAGGGGGATGGGGTTATGCAAACCCTGACACTAAGAAATTGTAGGTTACCCCGAAAATAGTGATCAAGCACCATAAAAATTGGTACAACCCTATTAATAAAATGTGGGTTCCCTCCAGTTCTGGGTTGGCATGATCCTTGACATTCGACCGGAAATCTCATGCAAGGCATCTTCATGTTCGAACGGTGGGAAAGCATGAAACCTTATAAAACCGATCAAACATTCTGGTGTGCTGTAGTGTCAATCATTGGCTCCATTTACCCCATGCTTGAATGCAAAAATGAAAATCAAACCCTGGCAAATCATGCCATCACCGGAAAAAGATCGAAAAGTAAATCCCTACACTGTTTTAGTTTCTAGTTGGAAATAAATATATATAAATATTGAATAATCACAGCACTGACGATGACTAGCTGGCATACTTTTCACGGATGAGGTCGCTGCCGCCTCTCTAGAAATGGGCTTCTCTTGCCGACGCTCCTGGCGGCAAGGATAGGTAAGTTGATGTGTTTCCAACCAATACGTTGACGTTGTCGGTGGATACATCGAACTAGCTCGTTGGATGGCTTTCCAACCAAGTTATACATGGGGGATCATGGGGGTACTGTATAACCGAAATGGTCAGTCATCAACGTCCACCGAAATGTCCGCTCCTTTCGGCCTTCAATCACCATGCCAACCAGAGCAAACCTCAGGAGCTTCGCCATGCTGAAAAGGTCACCTTTTACACCTCGCCATTCCACGGCGAACGGGACTCCAAGTCTTCACTTTCCATCTGCCAAGAGACACCGAACCAGCAAGGGTGGCACCAATGCATTTCACGAACCTGGCGGCGTCTGGACCCCAAGTCCCCAACAGGGCCAGGCCAAGCCAGGCCGAGCCATGGGTCAAAGTTTGGAGACCCATCATATAATTACAACCAACTTGGGCATAAGTTCTTTGGTATTATGTAACTAACATTAACTAACATTAACTACAGTAACATTAACTAACATAACATTAATTAAGTTGCAGCCCAGTTGCGAAGAGTGAGGCGAGAAACCTGGTGGAAGCAGCGAGCCCAACCAGTCCTCCTCTGCACCTGGCCGAGAGGGAGACGTTGCTGCCGCAACGTGGTAAATGTTGATGGGATTTAAACGGATGAATAGTGGGATTTAACTGATTTAGCTGATTTGACCATGGAATTGTCATAGAATTCTATGTTAAGATCATGGGATTTTCATAGGACCATAGAGGGGTTTGTCAGGTATACTATAAATTGCATGGGATTTCAGGGAAAGTCACTGGTTGAAATCGGATCGATGGGGTAAGCCCAAGAATTTTGACCATCCCGAAGATCAGTACAAATGGGTGGGATCGAAATCAACCCAGATGGTAGGTTATGATTGGCTCATTATTGGGTTTACTTTCAACAAATAAGGGAAAATCTCAACCGGATACCGTGCTTTTTACTCAATTGCTTGGGGGGTCCTGTCCATTTTAAATCAATCCAATGCATCATAAGCCTTTCCTCCACCAGAGGGGCCAGGTAGACTCGCCTACAGCTTTGAAGCACCACTTGACTGACAATGAGCCTTTTGGAGCCACGTGACACACCATTCCCACCTGTGCATTCAGTGGTGTCGCTGGAGCAATCTCCACGGCAAAGAGCCTCGGACGTTGCTTCGTTGATGTCCGTTGATGTTCGCGAATGACCTTCCCCGTTTTCCAAGATGGGCTAAGATGGGCTAAGCCGCTAACCCCCCAGGAGGTTAGGGATGTGCTTATACCATGACTTATACTGGATCAGGACAGAGGCAGCAGCCGGACCTAACTTTTAGCAGGGTGCCATGGTGAAATGATGTGAAATGACCAACTCTGAAGTGAGTGAAACAAGTCAGTAGTTTTACCGTAATTTTGAGTTCAATCCCAACAAAGAACATGTGATAGCCACAATTTTGATCTCAATCCCAACACCCCAAAAAAAAAAACATGATAGGGCATTGAGTATTAGAGTGCATAGGCACTTTCTCAACATGGCAGCAATCTGCTTTCTAAGTCAGATGATCATCTTGCCTATTTGACGTTGTCAAGAAGGCGGCCTGCATCCCCTGAGTTTCACATCGCAAAGATGGGGACCATTGGACCCCAACAGCCCCATCAAAAATGCCCCTCTTGCAAAACCAGAAGTTCACACTACCAGTTGCTAGCTGGTTTTACCATCCCCAAGTTACTGTAAAAATTGGGATTCTGTAGGCCGCCTGAGTCGACATCCCGACATCCCCATCCATGGCACCGCTAAAACCACGATGGCCAGCACACGTGTCCGGGACATCGCCACCTATGCAGGGAAGGGCCACTTGTGGAGTCCACAGGAACGATCCCTGGACATCGGAAATTGTGAGGATCCAGAAATTGGATGTTGAAATCAATGTCAATCCTGGGCTTTTGATCCCACTCCCAGCTCCACTGGGCTGCTGGCTATCTTGGAGCGCACTTTCTTACGTGCAGCCCCAGACTAGCTCTTGGAGCCAACGTGTCATCGAAGAGGCCGAGCAAAGTGAGAGTTACCATCCAAGTAATGATGTGGCAAAGCCAACTGTAAACCATCTCCAAGAACAATCCCCGAATAAGATGTTTCGTAGACATTGGGTTTGCCACATCAGTCTTCAAGGACGGCAGCAGGAATCGGAGGTGGTCCCATGATGATTATTTTAAAAAAAAGAAAGCAGGATAACCATACTCCGCGCCAAATGATTATGGGAAATTGGATTTAAAAATTGGATTAATGTCCCTGATATTAAAAGAGCAGGCAAAACGAATTGACGACCCCAAAGATTTCAAGGTCTCGGTTGAACTGGCCGTCGCAATGTAAGCTGGGGTCAAGTCATCGTGTTGATTTATTGCGAATGTTACCGGCAACACTGGCCTGTTTTACAACAAGAATCACTAGAAATCTCGAGGGGGTCCTGCAAATCTTTCCATTCATCATCCTTCACCCAATTCGGGGAACCACACTCCGGCGTCATCAAATGTGGCAATCGAAAATCCACCATTTACAGATGATTTCCTGCAAAATCCACCATTTCCCATTAAACCTCTATTAAAATAGGAGTTTCCAGCCATGTTTGATGACACCCCAAGGGTGCCAAAGATTGGAATCCTCCCTGGCCAGGCTGGTCAAGGTACCACCACCGCAGTTGGATCCTGGACATATTGGCCCCAGCGGATGGCTAGAAATCCACATTGAAAACACTTCAAAAAAACCATTGGGCGTCCGTAATGGTACAGGTGTGTCCTAAAAAAAAATCATAAAAATCTATGAAATTGTCCCAATTCTTTCAGACTTCTTGAAAGTGGAACAGGCCTTTTTCCTAGGGCCAGTAAAAAACACTGCAAGCTGAGCTGCGCAATCCCCATTTTTTGCAAGAGTTGGGGCCGTCCTCTGCAGCCAATAGATTATTTGAAACTGCTTTGCTCCCTAAAAATCGATCCAAGAGATCAATGCGCCGAGCCGCTCTGCGCAGAGTCACGCGTGAATTTCACGCAAGTTTTGCACCTGCAAGTAGTGTAAAAATACTCATATCCCGTAGTAACCACCCCCCCAAAAAAGAAATGTAATTTATCACTATTTTGCTTGCTAGGATTCTGAGTTTCTATCTGAAACTTTGGGGTTGTTATACATGCTTACATGCATATCATACATTACATATATGTATATGTATATACATGTATAGAGCAGAGCGGCGATCGAAACTGGAAAAATTCAGCCATCAGGCTAAGAACTGGAGTATGTTGCCATTCCTGGCTCGGTCATGGGGCCGTGGCATGCGTGAAATCCACACATGTCCACCATGTCATGACATGTCCAGCATTGCTTTTCTGACCTTTTTTTGAATTGCTGCAAGATTTGATCATCTGCTGATTCTCCCCACTCTGGGGTTTGATCTCCCGCATGTCTTTGCCTGTTCGGCCTAATCGGTTCCTCCACCGGTCCTGGTTTCTACTTCTGCAAGACCATCTGGTTGAAGCGTTCCACCTGGCTGGTGAATGAACACAGACCCTCCCAAATAAGGGTTGGAAAATGAGTTTCCACTCAAAATGTGGTATTTTCAGGGTGGAACTGTTCATTCCCCAAAGGGTCGCAGCAGAAAACTTGGCACTCACTATTTTAAGCCCAACATCTCTTCATCATTCATCCTCCACGTCTAGAGATTTTTGGAGTCTTACCCTCTGGTAATTTAACATAACTATGGGAAATCACCATTTATATTGAATTTTCCCGTGAAAAATTGTGATTCTCCATAGTTATGTTAAATTACCACAGGGTACATTCCCAAATTCTCTGGCAGCTATAAAAAAAAAATCCACCATTTTGGGTGAAAAATCCTGGAGAGCCAAGCCCCCAAGCGACCCACCTCCTGAGCCGAGCCAATCGCCAGTGCGGTGCGCTGATCCACAGCCGTGATCTTCCTCTGGGCACGTCCCGCGGATGGATATATGTATATAGAAATAGATATAGATAGATAAATAGATATAGATAGCTAGATATATAGACATAGAGATATAGAGATATAATAGAGATGTCATTCTACAGTATATTTCTGGAAATCCATGGGTTTTCCCGGTTTGGAATATGGTCTATTTGGCCACGGCGCATGTCCAGCACGCTGTTCCCGGAGACGCCATCGGAGGTCTTGCCCCCGGCCATCTCAACGAGGCGTCCGAAGGGCGCCGCCTCGAAGGCTAGGCGCAACTTGGCAGGAGACGCCTCCGGCTGTGGGGGAAATGGGAGAATCATGGGTGAATCATGGGCAGATTATGTCTGGGATATGGTGGAGATTAATCTGATAGGTTAGAGATGAATCATCTGATATTTTTTGCGATATGGGGGAAAATGATTTGGGATAGATGGGATTTTTGTTGGAACTATGCGTGCAAATGGGAGTTAGCATCTGGCAATTTAACAGCTTGCCATTGAAAATTACACTGTGCTTATGGGTCATCTAGAAATTGGCACCGTATAATTACCGCATGGTATCTAATAGGTCTTAGGATTAACTAACCTTGCTATGGAAATCCATTGTTGTTACCCGTTCGGAAGTGACCTACATTCATGGTGGAATTTTCATATCGATGTTCGTATGTGAGTTTATTTACATTTATGGGTATTAGGTATTGGCCCGACGATGGTGAATAGATAGGAGGTAAATTTTATAGGCTGGAAACCATCCCCAACTAGACTAGTGACTTGCCACAAATAGATAGTTTTTTATCATTCCCTTCAATTGGGAGGATTATAATTGGTTTATCATCACATGAGGCATGTACTAGTTCGAATTCTGAAATCTTGGAAGATGAATTAGGAAGATAAGTCTGGTGTTTTTGCTGTCAGGAAAAAGGTCAAAATTTTTGCGGTGCTTTTTGCTGTGGTTCTCTCAATTTCTCCAACTGGCTTCCCTGGCTCCAGCCATCTCCACCGGATGGTCGATCTAACACAGCATTTCTTGCGGGACCTCCAGTGATTCTTCGTAGAACTTTTCGGAGACCCTCTGGCAATGAAAAATTGCTGTGGAATTTCCACAGCATTTCTTTTCGAAGTCATCAAACACCAGAGCAACAAATTAATTACCGAAAGGAAAACCCCTCACATGTCCATACCATTCTTGTGGATTAAATATCCATCGGTTAGTTGGTGAAATTACCACTACAGCCATTATACCCCTTAAATCTCTCACTAGCTTCATAAACATTCATACTCTAATAGATCTTAGGTGTGTAAATGAGTGATACGATGATACGATAATGATAATGATGAAGTTATACCCTACAGAAAACTAACATAGCTATGGATAACCATCACTTTTGATAGGTAAATCGGTAAATCCACCTATAGAAATCATCATTTTCAACATAGCAAAATATAATGTGTTTAAAACAGTCATAAACCATCCCCCAGTCATCAACATTTTTATAGGTGGGATTAGGTTACCATTCCCAGGCCTTGGAGGTTGGATTCGTGAAGACGCCCTGCCCCTTGGTGAACTGCTGGCAGACATCCGGCACCAAACCCCCAGTGTAGCGCAAGGTGAACTTGTTGGTCATGTAGTGGTTGATGAGGTTGTTGTAGCCTTCAACCTGTCACACTGAAGTTGGAGTTCAATGGATTTCAATGGATTTCAATGGATTTAAGATGATTTAAGGCGATTTAAGATGAGTCAAAACAATTTGAGATGATTTAGGATGTCTTAAGAATAATTAAGATTAATTAAGATGTTTCAAAATAATGTATAATGTTGAATATCTAAACTTCTAACAAATGATTTAAGATGATTTAAAACGACTTATATAATAATAAGATGATTTAATCTCATTTAAGCTGAGATTGGATATCTTGGATGGTTGGGACCGGAGAAAATTCAAAACGGACCTCCAAGACTTTGGGGCTCAGGATCACCAGGAGTTCAACCAGTGGTCAAGGAATAAGCGAAGCGATGACTAAGTGATGATCGATACCCAGGACCCAGGTTGATACATCTTGTTCTATACATACTGATATAGAAATGCATATAGATATATATATATACAGTGTATATATATATATATATGTATATATATGTATGTATCCAAATGTGTATACATAACTGATATCTATAGATATATGTATATCGATATATCTATACATATCCAACTGTACGTGTATATATATATATATGTGTGTGTGTGTATCAGAAGTGGGGAATGGGAGGATGGTCCATGTCCAGCTGGGCAAAACCGTGGTGTTCCCAACCTCCTGGGCTGCGCGCATGTTGGCTGGGGCAAAGATCTTGCACTCCGTCTTGATGGAGATCTTGTCACGAGAGCAGATCCACTCGTTTCCTGGCCGCTGTGGGTCAGATGAACATCGCTCACCCCAAAGAAGAAAACCTGCCGCATTTTGGATTATAATTCGGGTTTACTCAGCTATCCAAGAGAGGAATTGCCATCTGCCAGCCACCAGTTCTAAAACGTAGCAGGATCCCTTAAGCGGGTGACCATCCTTGTTACTGATCTCAAATTCTACTGCAAATATTCTATGATCCAGACGCATCACAAAAAAGAGGAGAAAAAAAAAAGCACAGCCCTCTGGTAAACTAACATAGCCATTGAAAATGGCCATTTATAGTTGATGTACCCATTAAAAATGGTGATTTTCCATAGTTTTTTGTATGTTTACCAGAGGGTAGATGGTGATCCCAGCCCAGCTTCCATCCCCCAGGGTGAACTCATAGACCCCATCGTCCAAGGTGATGAAGACCGTGGTGCGTGGCCCGTACAACGTCACGATGGACATCACCTGGTCCCGGCCCGTGGCACCGATGAGGCCCGTGGACTTGTCCCAAACGCCGATGATGGTCCCCACGGCCCAGTTGTTGTCCACGATGGAACTACCATCCAAGGGATCCCAGCAGAGGACGTACTGGCCATCCTGGGAGATCTGGAGGTTCGAGGTTGGAAATCTGACTAGGTCGGTTTCAAGTGCTAGACAATTGCTACAAAATGGGCCGCGAAAGCTGCTTGGAAAATCTTGGAAATGGGGGGTGCCCATATGACATATGACATGCAGCATACATCAACTCAGAGAGTGCCTCTGTAGCTTGAATGCCACATGACCCCAACTTCCAACCCCTTGGCATCCTCGTTGGTCTTCACGATCTCTGGTTCCTCTTCGGAAGATGCTTCATACACGTTCCTTGGAGTTTTTCAAAGGATGAAAAAAATGCAGATAGAGAGAGAAAGAGAGAGAGAGAGATATATATATATATATACATATATATATATACATATATATTTATACATATATATATATATATACATATGGAAGGGATCGAAAGAGATAGAGAGGGAGAGAGGATGAAAACAAGAAACTGAGAGAAAGAGAAAGATAGAATTGAGGTAAAGCACAGACAAAAGTAAAAAGGTAAGGAAATGGAAAAGGACAAGATTGATTCCCCCCATGGCATATGTTCAAAATACGATTCCATCCGCAAAATCCAAAGAAAAAAACACCGACGGAGCAGGTCTTCGTCGGGGTTCTTGGAGGTCTTCGCCAGGTCCCACAACAAGTTGTCCGCGATGACGTCCACCGTCAGCTGTCGGTCTCCAAAAGCGTTGGAGGCATCGTTCACAGTCACCAAATTCACACGCAACGCCTGCAGATATATTAGAAATCTGGGTCAAATATATTGAAACGCATTGGAGCTGTCTATTGGTCTAAGTAAGATAAGTAAGTGCCGTAATCTATGTCTATGTATCTCTATATGACTACATGTCTACTGAACATGCACATAGGCAAATATCTACATATCAATCAATACATATCATTCATGTTGTGTTCCTCCTTGGTACTGTTTGACGATGGGACATCCACCCAAAAGAGCAGGTGATGACCATCATGATTGCAACAGCCAGGCTTCCTGGGATCATTTCTCGTGATTGCCCCCATTCAAGGCATGGCACCTCAGTAATCTTCACGCAGGCATCCAACAACTCGTTCACCATGCCCTTCAACTTCGCATCTTTCAGCTTCTCAGCCAACACCTCAATTTAGCTGGTGCTGAAAAAAAAATATGCACCCATCACACCAGCTGACACCATCAAATAAACACCATAATTATCATAATTAGCATCTCCACCCCCAATTTCAACCCTGCAACATATTTGCAATCCTGTTTTCTCCCTATTTCTCCCTGCCTCTTCCAAAGTGTCATACTTGTCCTTGGCCACGGCGTCGGTGTAGAAGGAGGTGTGGCTCGCGCCATAGGCGTCATCCTCGGCCCTGCGCTGCGCCTTGCCTGCCCTTCGTGCGGAGGCCACGGCGGCGGCACCCAGGGCCACCACGGCGCCGCTGCCAAGGCCGCTGCCGGGGGCGCTGCCGGAGGCACCTGCGGCACCACGCAGCTGTGCCGAGGTGGTGGTGCGGGGGGCACTGGGAGCCAGGAAGGCCCAGGTGCCAGACACGGCGGCGCTGGCCAACAAGAACTTGGACATCTGAGGCATTGCCGAAGGTTGTTTGGAACCTGTGAGTCTTCTATTTTTTGGGAGCTGAGAGCCGAAATGCTGTATGTCATTGAGTTCCAAAGCCCGCACAACTGTTTGAACTGCCACATTGTCACATGCACCGGCAACGCCCTGAATCTGCAGCCTGCCCCCTTGCAGCATCCGAGGTCCTCAAAGCGTACGATGACCACCGTCATGTTGTCACATCCAAGTCCTCTTCAAGGCCATGTCAAAATATATCCCGTGGGAAGGAACCTCCGACACTGGTCCACTTTCGTGAAATTTCAAGGCTGTATATCATACGATGATATACCCGTTATAGGTATATATAACATTATATATATATATGTGTGTGTACTATTATTATGTGCGTGTGCGCATACACCTTTGTTCAAATATGCGTGTCTATCTATCTATCTATCTATCTGTCTGTCTGTCTGTCTGTCTGTCTATCTATCTATCTATCTATCTATATCTATATCTCTATCTCTATCTCTATCTCTATCTATATCTATCTCTATCTATCTATCTATATCTATATCTATATCTATATCTATATCTATATCTATATCTATATCTATCTATCTATATCTATCTATCTATCTATCTATCTATTTATCTATCTATCTATCTATTTTTCTTTCTTTCGGTCTTTCGTTCTTTCGTTCTTTCTATCTTTCTACCTTTCTATCTTTCTACCTTTCTATCTTTCTATCTTTCTATCTTTCTATCTTTCTATCTTTCTATTTTTCTATCTTTCTATCTTATCTACCTATCTTATCTATCTTATCTATCTTATCTATCTCATCTATCTTGTCTATCTTACCTATATTATCTATATTATCTATATTATCTCGATTTTCTATATTATCTATATTATCTATATTATCTATATTATCTGTATTATCTATATTATCTATATTATCTGTATTATCTATATTATCTATATTATCTATATTATCTATATTATCTATATTATCTATATTATCTTATCTATCTTATCTATCTTATCGATCTTATCTATCTTATCTATATATATTATCTATCTTATCTATTGTATCTATCTTATCTATCTTTTCTATCTTATCTATCTTATCTTTCTTATTTTTCTTATCTTCCTTATCTGTCTTATCTATCTTATCTATCTATCTATCTATCTATTCTATTATAATATATTATATTTTATTATATGATATTATATTATACTATATTATACTACATTATACTGTATTATAGTTTATATTGTGTTTTGTTATATTATATTATAGTTTAATATATATATATTACTATATTATATTATAGCGTTTTATATTAAATTCATTTATATTATGTTTTGATATTTTTACTATGTTATATGATATTCTAAAAGATTATATTATGTTATATTATATCATATTAATTAAAATTAATCATATTATACATATATATCTATATATATAGCATATTATAGTTTACCTTATATGTTATTTTATTTCTATATTACATTATGATATATTTTATATATTGTATATAAGAGATTACTGTATATAACTATATACTGTATATATACATATATATATATATCATTTATTATATATTTTATTTTATATCCCTATATATAAATTGTTCTTATATCATTATTATTATCACTGTTATTTTCACTTTTATTATACATGTGACATGTGGGTGATTTATTCTCGAAAAAATTGAAAACTTCCAATGTTCGCAGCAATGAAGGCAACTATGTCGCCATTCTAATATCACCCCGGCAGCTTCAGCTTTCCCCAGGCGTGTTGCCGATCCCCATTCATCTTATTGATTGCTGGTTTTGTAATGCTAGGTCTCCAAATTTGTGTTGCAAGTTCCCAATACCCTCCAGCAATCAAAGATGGCAATCGCAAATCTCTCAAAAAAATGATTCATGGGAAAATGATAGAAAATGATGGAAAATGATGGAAAATGATGGAAAATGATCGTACAGTAATTATCTTCAAGGCTGAATTCTTCAGCCATCTTTGAGGCTCATGGCCCCACAACGGACACTCCCCGGATCCACCCACGACCTCCTCGCTGGGTGGGGGTGCTGGCGCAGCAGGAGTCCAACAGCCTGGGTACCCCCATCCATTTTTTCGGAGCTTTCATGAAACATCCAGCTATTGGGGAAAAACTTCAATTTATGGATATCTCCAGCTATTGGGGTGCTGCCATTCGGAAACCCACCATTTGCATCCATCTGGTTATTCTTCACCTTTGATTTTTAGGCTCAGATTCATTGAAATCTATTTCCCACAGCCAAGGAACTCCTGTAGCACGGGCACCAGACCCTTCCTGGAGCCTGGGGGTGGCAGCCGCGAGCGGACAAAGTTCACGGCTTGCTGGTCCTCCATGCATTCCCAGACCTGGAAGGAAACTGGTAGGAGCTGCGTTTGGATTTCGTTGTTCTTTTTTAAGATTTCCCGTTTCTCAATTTCACACTGATTTTTGGGGCGAATCCGACTACATGAAAATGGAGATGGGAGACATGGTTAGTTGAGAAGATATTGGTAGTGAACCTTCACGAATTTAGGGTTTGGTGGGTAGCCATGGTCCAAGCATGTTGCAGTCATGTTGCAGCTGCCTTTTGATCAAATGCATCAAATAGTGTCGCAGAAAAGTGAAAGGGATGAAACCAGAATCATCATTCAGTCACAAAAAAAGAGGTGATTTATCGCCGTTCTTGTGGGATGTTACCTTTCCGTCTTAACGTCGGGGGTGCTTAGAACCAACCCAACTTCCCCCCTTTGCTTTTGGTGATCCATCCTGTTCTGGGCAATTTATATACTGAATAAAGCTCTGAGATACTCAATTTGTGCTATGATTCCCTCATTCCAAACCATCATATTTGGGTTGGTCGCTATACTTTTGCTACACAAAACTATTAGTGGCGCTTTTTTTAATCAATGTGTCATGGAAAAGTCCTTTTTTTTCGCAAATCATATGTATCACTGAATTATATTAGAATCATTTTGAAAAAATGATGGAAAAAAAAAACATATGATTTTCCCATACCCTTCACCACCGCTTGGGCACAATTTGAGGCCCCCAACCCCATCACTGGCTAAGAGCACGAATTCGTCCACACCCACGGTCCAGAGCAACCGCTTGGTGTCCGGCACGGCCGAGACCAACCTTAGTAGGGCCGGAAGAATTTGGCAGATGAGGTGAAATGTGGGTCCGTGAGCCCAAATAATGGGAGATATTGATTTAAGGTGGTTGATCTAAATTCTTTCATCTGCAAACGGCCATCTTCGCGAATGAAACATGCCCTTTCGCGAGACTTTGGTAACTCCCACGTTTGTCATTTGCAGGGTTATGCTTATCCTCTTTTAAGTGCTGCTGAGACGCGCTCAAACTGCATGTAAATGGCAACTGAGTGAATAATCTGGAAGACAGCCAATTCAAGAAACATCAGAATTTCATGGTTTCCAGGCCCCCTTGGAGTTGCGGAACCTTCGCGAAAATTCCTCTGCAATTCAACCAACAAATCCACACCCTGAATTGTGCAGGTGCAGCTCCACTTGATAACAATATGGTACGGGGTCTATTCTGTTCCTGCCATCCACGGTTCTCACCCCACCTACAAAAAATAAAAACTTTCGCCGTATCTTTCGCCAATTCAACATGTGCCTTCGCAAATTCAGGAAAAAAACTTGTGCGGGTTGATGAACAATCCTCACAAGGACCTTTGGATCGAGTCCCCATAATACTCGAATAATCTCGAATACATACCGAAATGTACAGAAATTTGGTTTTTGCCTCCAGAAATTGAAATATGATCATCCAAAAATGGTGTTTTACCTATATCAGACGGAAATGGCATATCCTGGCATCAGCTCCGTGGCTTTTGAACAGCGGGTGGCAAAAGCAATCAGTCTCTGTACATCAAAGGTCTCGCAAAAAGGGAACAGTGCTCCACTCTGGTGCAGTCGTGCTCAGGTGTTACTGGTGTTACTCAGGTCTCACACCAGCAGTGCTTGGGAGTGGATGCAGACCTCCGTGAAGGTGTGCATGGTGGTGGGCATCTGGTCAGCCATGGCGCGCACCTTGGGGTCCTTGTTGGACAAGATCAGCTGCTTAGTGAGGTTCTGGCTGATCTCATACTTCCCCTGGCGGCACAAACCCAATGATGACCCTCAAACTTTGACCAAAACGCCAGTGGTATTTGAACCATCCCGGGTGGCGGATGGTTCTGCTTTACCACATTTGAATTTCAGGCAACTTTGGGCACAGAAAACCCAGAAGAACCCTGTAAAGTTTTGATAAGTTGAGCCATGGAACGTTTCTCTTGGATGATGTAAGTATGATACTTCGACATGTTCAAACATTAAAAGGTTCTTGGAATTCAAGCCACCGGTACTACTCCCCCAACCGCCATCACCCCCCTCACCGCTCCTTCAGCTGACCCTCCAAGAGCGTCATGCACACAGGATGCTCACCCTGTTCCTTCTTCCACAGGTTCACGCACTCCGAAGGACAGGCATCTGAGCGAAGTGACAAGGAGCTCATTTCACGGTTCGATGATTTAATATATATAATGGATATCTCTTTGGTAGTATAGAACCCCCATAAGTTGGGATATGGTATATATATATATACATATATATATAAGCCTGTAACTATGGTGAAACATTAGCCATAATTTACCTTTTGGATCCGTTTGGTTTAAATGTTCAATGGGGGGTTGTCTTCTATGAATCAAACACCGCTTAGGAAAAGAACACCTACAAGTGCAAGATCTTAGAGGTTTTCAGATCCTCCGCTTTCTTCGAGAATTCAACCCTCTGGTAATTTTGTGTACTATGGATCTATGGCGCCCACGTTGAAAGTCATGATCCACGGCTCCCCGCGAAATTTTCACGGCGTTTAAACCCTGTGACCTGGCGTCCCTGGCGTCGCGGGGAGGAAAAACTTCACGTAGCACTTGGAGTTTTGCATCAGCAAAGTCGCCAACTGCTGGGCACAGTAGAAGTCACCATCCTTTGCGCACGCGGAGTGTTCCTGCAACAGGAAAGGCTTGGAAAGGCTGGGGAAAAATGGAGTTTGAGTTCTTATGGAAATCACATCAAAGCTGAAATAGCCCTCAGAAGGACGTTCATTGGGTTAATAATGAATAGATACAAAACAAAACCCAAAGTTTAGAGGGGTAAGATTTGGGGACGGGAGTGTATACTATGAGTATCTATTAGTAACAATCAATGACCACATTTGTGGGCCCATTGGACCCCAATCGAAATCGATCTGGAAATGCTTACCCAGTAGTGACGTAGTAAACTCTTGTCATTTCATGGATGCATGTATGCGTGTATGCACGTATGCATGTATGCATGTATGCTTGTATGCATGTATGCATGTATGCATGTGCGTATCCATGTGCACAAGCTACGTATCTACATATAGATCTGTAAATAATACTGTACTGTACATTCCATTTCTCTTGTCCACAGGGTCGATTGGAACCTTGCACAGACTGCGGCTTCACTGGCCGTTGTCCTGGCTGCGGAAGGACTTTGGCAGGTTGTCTTCCATGGCAGCCTTGCACTTGGCATAGTCAAAGTTTTGGCTCATGCTGGCACACCTGGGGCCATCCTACCCAGGGCATCCCAGGGCGCTGGGATCCATGGTAGGCTGGCTTCATTTGTTCCAAGTTTTTGGGTGCCGATTCCCACTTCCATCCCCCGATCATAATACCCCCAACCTTTGGGGCTCCAATTCACGGATCATAGTATCATAGATCCAATGAAGGGAAGGGATTGATGAGGTAGTCACAGGTACCAGGTAGTAACTACAGTAGACCAGGTAAACCATGGTGTTTACCAATCCAATCCCCCAACATCCCCAGGCAGGTCGGGCTGACCCGCTGAGAATTTCCAATCCCAGGCAGGTCGCAGGGTGCCGCCATAGCAGCTGCCGTACTCCTTCTCCATCGTCTCCACGCCCTTCACGCAGTCGGGCTGCCCACAGAACTTCTCCAGATTCTCGTGATTCGTCGCCTGAAATGCCTGCAAGATGAGGAAGTTTGAGGACAAAACTGTTAGTCATTAAGTATCAATATATCACAGAATATCACAGAAAAAAATCTGCAAGAAGTTGGTATGTCGACAAGGTTAGAGGATTACAATGCCCACCATTTTACAGGGATGTCTTTTTGTGAATATAATCTGGAGGAAATATGTACGTGTATATATATATATATATATAATTATATATATACTATCAGGGTACATCGGTGCATGACCATTTTGTCACATTCTCGTAGCCATGTTTCTGGGGTCGTGAACAGGGGTGAAAAGGAGGTACCAGGCAAGCACAAAGAGAACACAGGATCATCTTGAGGACTGCATGCAGTTTGAGTGGAGCAAGCCTGTTGTTCGCCCGCCTTGAGTGCCATGTCCGCTGCTGATGCAAACGCCGCGGCAGCTGCAGCCCCACCGGCCGCGGCTGATAGGGTTGCTGTGCTGAAGGAAGAGCGCAAAAATTTGAAACGCCAGTTAGCAGCAGCCACCAAAGAACTACAGAACCAGGAGAGTGCATGTAAATGCATGGATACGGTGTCTTTTCGTGAGTGCAGGTGGGACATGTGAACGCTGAACCCATGTTGAAAGACATGTACTCCATAGCCTGCAGGAAAGGAAACGAAGACGTCTTCTACGACAAGCAGGAAAGCTGGATGTGAGTGATTTGACGTGGCTGCTGGCACGTCGCATGCATCCAATGGCAAGCCCGCATGAGTAGAGTCAAGCCGTGCACTATGTGGAAAGCGCCATGCCAAAGACATAGAGCGCTTGGAGTGAGAGCGGCCATGTGAAGGTTCGAAAGCACCATGCCAAAGGCATGGACACTAGGAGGGAAAGCTGGCAACCGCAGACTTGCAAGCGCCATGGTCAAGACATAGAGCGCTTGGAATGAGACCATGTCAAGGCTGAAAATCCCAATGCCAAAGGCATAGCGCGGCAGGAGTGAAAGCTGGAAACCGCAGACTTGCAAGCGCCATGTCGAAGACAAAGCGCTTGGAAGACATGCGCGGTCCAGAGACCCCATTTAGAAGACATCCAGGGATACAACGCTAGATAGACAAGATATCTCCCCAAGAATCTTCCCACACCCCACCTCCAAAACATCACCTCCCCAAGAATCTTCCCACACCCCACCTCCAAAACATCACCTGACCCCCCTGGTATATTATTATAATTCCCAAACGGGGTATGCGGTCCCGCTCCTATAAATTCACAGGTAAAGTGGTCCCGCCGACGGCGGGACCGGTCCCGCCTGCAACCTGGAATCGTGGGAATTCCCACATTTTGCGGTCCCGCCGCGGTCCCGCTGCGGTCCCGCCTATAGTAATTGCGTACTGTCGCGCGCAGCAGCAACAGCAGCTTTAAGACATTACCCCCATGCACATCCTTCCCATTCCATCATTTGCAGCGGCCATGTTCCCACATCACATCTACCTCTTTTCCACCCCTTCTTCCAGCTTCCATTCCTTTTTTTTGCAGTGCTGTTGCAGCATGGCGTCTGTGGATCGCACGTGTGCGAAGCGGCAGCCGGAGAGAACTGCAGTCACGTCGGGTGAAAACATGGGCCGTGAGCGGTTTTGTTTCTGGGGCAGACCGTCTCTGTAGATATTGCTACTCAGACACGTGCCTCTACCAGTCACATTTCTCTAGCGGAAATCATCAGCAGCATTCCTGGGTGTCAACGGTCGACACGCTTTTTCCAGACCTGTGGGCCATATGCACGTCCAGCTAGCAGACTATCTGCTCCATGTGCTTTTTTCATGCTCAAGCCTGTGACCTGCATTCTGCTTTAAGGACGTGGTGGTGAGTTCCTTGCTGTTTCTAGTGTCAAGCCCTCTCCAAAGGAAATGGGCCACCTGACAGCAAAGCGGGGTGTCGCAAGCAACTGACGTAGCACATCGCATTGGAGCCTTGCACCCAAGACATGCCATGCAGACAGGATGTTTCCGCATTGCACTTGGGCCGAGCCATGAGATCCTCCACGACACGGAAGCGTGCTGCGTGCGGGTCGTTGCGGGAACTGCTGCAAGCCAACCAGCTCGAGGTGCCGAAATTTCGGGGTGAATTGTCTCGCGCCGACTTTGCAGCGCAACGACAGCGCCTGGAGAACTGCACCTTGTCTCCGAGTGACACTCAGAAGCTGCGAGACATCATTGACCTCTATGAGGTGCCTCACCTGTTTGTCGGGTGCTAAAGACTGCGACCCGTTGTTCGGGTCACTTTTCACATTTCTCACCCTGCTGCGACTTGCTCAGCCGTCCTGGTTGGTGCTACCATTCGCTGGGTTTGCACGGCCTTCTGGTTCACACTGTTTCTAATCAGCTTTGCAGGGCGTTGCAGCAGCAGACGAAGCTGGTGCAGCAGCATCGACCCAAGAGGATGTGGATATGGCAGCAGCCCCAGGACCAGGTCAGAACGCAAGTAGTTGCCATTCTGTCCCTGCATCCGGGACGGTGCTTTCCGGAGGGTAAGAGACCTAGAGCAGTGGATGGACATGACATGCATCAGTGACAGTAGGCAAGCCTCAGCCTTGCATGCAGATTGGAGAGACTGAACTAGAAGGGGTATAGTCATGAGTCCTAGTCGCAGCCACTTCATTGTTGCACATTTTTCACAGGTGATGCCCGCCCTTTTCGTCTTCGAGCACGAGCAGTGTTGGTAACCTACAATTCCTTGCAGCTGCAGCTGGCGGATTTCGGTGAGTTCCTTACTTGGCTTGCAACGTGTGAGTGGGTCGGCAAATGGAGTGCCACGATGGAATCAAGTTTGCGTTCGGAGGATGCTGGCCGTCTACATATTCATTGCTTCCTGGAATTCGCCCGCCCCGTCGACTGGCACTCATGCACGGCGCTCCGTTTCAAGGGCATTCAGCCCAATCTTTCCCCATGTCGGGCACGGGGCGCACGCTGGCGAGATGCGGCAGACCAAGGACATTTTTACGTTTGGGCTGCAAAGGTGCATCTCCGTTGGTTTACCTTGTAACGACATTCTATCTCATGTTGAAAGTTGCAGTTCATGTAGGCCACCTTTGTCACTAATCCGATCGTGTGGCAGCAGCATGACGTAGCTTCTAGTTGATCATCAGTAGCCCTGGCAGCTTTGCAGCAGATCGTGTTTGCAGTCAAACATTTTGTAGGCCACCTTGGTCTGGGCACCCACGAGCCTGATTTGGATGAACTGAACTCATTGGCCCGCTATCTACGTGGTTGGTCTTGCATAGGCAATCCTTCTTCTTTGTACGCATTGATTCAAGATTTATCACTATCGATATATCGAAATATATCTCTGCATATAAAAATATATATGTGGTGATCCATCTGAAGGTCCTGATAACGAGTTTCAATTGCAAACACAGTTCATTTGTGCTGGAACCCCGCGCGAAAGTTTGTTTGCGAAACAGAAACTGTTTGCTTCGCGAAAGTGTCGCGAACGGTGGCTAGAATGCATCATCCTCATTGTCTACAGTACCGTTTGTTAAGGGCTACCCCCGCCTCCCTGCTGTCGGGGGTCCGGCAGGAGACTGGGACCGCACATTGGCTTTTCCCTTCATAGGTAGCAGCCAGCTTCCGAAAGTCACGCTTCGCCAGAGCCAAATACCATGGTGGCCAAGCA